CTTAACTTGATGTTATCCCTTCAGTACCTGAGTAAGCAGAGTCACTAGCACTCTTACTTTAAACGGCAGTGACAAAACAGCTAAGGCTCTTGCCCAAGATAATGACCCCCCAAAAGATAACCTCACAGTAAAATCAGTGACATTTGTTTGCCTACTTTGCCAGTTGTAATGAAATATGCCATTATTACCTGATTTTAGATTATGAAGAATACTAAGTGATATTTACTTCTTTTGGAAAGGTTCTCAGGTACATAATGAGACAAACAAGATGTTTATCTTTTGTGGCTGCTGCAAACCTCCTGCGCGCAACACATTCCTTTTTGTCTTTTTCAAAGTCAAATACTAAGGAAAATACATTAGACTCCATTAGAGTGTGAGCATATGATTCAACTTCCAAATCTAAAGCCATAAATACAGGGTTCATTTAGTATTAAGAAAGAAAGAAAGAAAGAAAGAAAGAAAGAAAGAAAGAAAGAAAGAAAGAAAGAAAGAAAGAAAGAAAGAAAGAAAGAAATTGCCTAGGGTTACCTACTCTGAAGCAGTGAAAAATAGGACAAATGTGAGATTCATCAAATGGAAATTGTTCATTGGGAAAAGAAATTAAGCTGGCTACTTTGAAGAAATAGCCATCCATCATAGGATCATGGGATCATTTTGATCCTGAAATGGGGAAAATGGGAAATATTCTGTTTAAATTGTTATTATAGTATTTTTCCATACTTGGAGAGCAACTATATATTGTACTTTAAGATAGAGCCAACTTTATTTTATACGAAGGGAACAAAAATATAAAGAACTAACATAAGGTCCATATGAGAAACTCACAATGTGTATGTGTCTCCTCTGAAGGCTGCATATGAACACAAAATGGCTGTTTCTTTCCATTTAAAGGTGCAGTCTAGAAGAAACACATCATAATATATACCAGTTACTTGCACAATTACTGAAGGATATAGAATACAGAAGGAAAATTATGTTGCCTCCCTCCAAACAAAACCCTGACTTTTCGTTACACATAAGAAAAAGAATTGCTTAGGTGATCCCTTCCTTCCTCTGCTTCTCAGAGAACTGGTCATCAGAAATGTTGCAGCAATTTTCTGTTTGCAAGCTATATATTAGTGCTGTGTGAAATATTCACTGCTAAAGGGAAAAGATTCAAAATTTTCCCCTTTTTACTTTCATGGAGCTTCCAACATTAGAGTTAGTCAAAGATTTCTTTTGTCCACTGAAATTCACAGAAGAAGAATGTATTTCATATACACATTCAGAATTTTCTTTTGACCTTAGAGAAATTTTGAACATGGACATAGATTCCTTTTAGAAAACTACTTTTTCCTCTCCCAGATAAGAACTGATTTTGACTTTCAGGAAGGAAGACAGATTGCTGAACTAACTGGACAGAACGACAGATGTTATTCTTCAAAATCAGAAAACCCTCTGGGGGACCCTGGGATGAATTTTGCATAATTTCAGTTTTTTTAAAGAAAACTAAGAAAAGAAACATGATATTAGCATTAAAGGCCTGATCCAAAGTCTGTTGAAGTCAATGAGATCAAGCCCTAAATCATGTTGAAAAGGAAATAAAAGAACAGAAGAAAATGAAAGAAAACAGAAAAATAAAGTTTAACAGTTTGTTGTAAAGATATTTGGGACCAAAAAACTAGCTCATTGGTGGAGAGGGGTTTGTTTCTATAAAACAAGGACAGTCAAATAATCCATTAGCATGAAAGAAGGAGAATAGGGATGAAAGAGAGAGTGAGGATGAAAGACAGAATGAAGGATTCTAGAATAGACCTGGGGAAAAACGGGAGAATTTCAATGCATATTGTAATAGCGTCTGGCCATCTACTTGCTCACCTGCATATGACTCCCCTCTGTGCATACATATTTCCATGCTTTCACTTTGTTGCAGTATCTGGTCCTCTGTTTGATAAGATAATACATTAGAGATCCAATTAAAAAGGGAGGCATATTCCTCTGTCATTCCTATACCATTGAGTCAGCAAAGAAAATGAATGAATGACAAAAGTGTCAGCAGTAAACCATATTTTATGACATATTTCTACTTGACAGTAATTTAAATATGCACCTTTTTTAATAAAAACAAAACCTGCAGAGTTCTACTTTATCATGCAGTAAGTTCCAAATGTAATAGATAAATAAAAGTTGTGTACTTGAGTTATATATAAATTTAAATTAAATATTATATATATGTATTAGTGCTCCAAAGCAACCTAAATGCTTTTGAATATCTCACCTAATATTTTACTGTTTTTGTTAACAACAAATGTGAGGTTGAAAGTGTGTTTCACTGGAGTACAGCCAACTCTGACAATAGATATTACACTTTCTTTGAAAAAATTCTACTCCTGTTAAAATAAATGCCAAATTTTAGCATGTCTGATAATGAGGAGCTACAGGATACAGCCAGTTCCCTGCTGCCATATAAACCTTCATCACCTTCCATCGCATGTCTGACTTATGCCCCTAAAATGTGTAAAAATGTACACAAAAGTCACAATAATAACTTACGAGGAGATTGATGGCTTGAAATGTAACCTGAGAATGGAAAATGTTTTTTTATCATCCCCCAGGACTAGATTGTAACCTTAAAATCAAGCTTGAGGTGGGGACAATGCTGCTGCAGGAGCAGGGCTGGAATCAGACTGACTTTGCCTGTGTGTCAACACTTCAGTTAAACACCTGTGGCTGGCCCATATCAGCTGATTCAGGCTTGAGCTGGGAGGCTGTAAAATTGTAGTGACTGTAGATGTTTGGGCTTGAGCCCAGGTTCTAGGACCGCACGAGAAGGGAGGGTACCAGCGCCCAGGCTCCAGCCTGAGCCCAAATGTTTACACTGCAATGTTACCACCCCACAGCCCAGCCTGAGTCAGCGGGTGTTTAACTGAAGTATAGACATACCCTGAGTATCACAATCAGCTTCCTGCTTCCCTATTGCTCCCTTTTGCTAGTTGAGTTTACTTTACCCTCTGCTCTGGTGAACATGTTTGGTGGGAGGGAGGCAGAGCCAAGGCCCCCACCTTCCCCCTTCCTCCTTAAGGCTCTGGTGTTGTGGGCAGCCTGGTCCGAGGAGTAGGGGGATCCCTATATTCCTTTACCCATTGTATGGACACAAAGCCAGACTCTCTACTGAGCAGGAGCTAATTTGTTATTTTGACATTTAGGTATGTGACCCTGTCTTCCATATGCACAACAATATCCATTATTACAAGATGACACAAATATGTATCTTTTTTTTTTTGGAGGGGCGGGTGTTTGATATTATACTGGATTACCTGAGAATACCTGTCACTGATCACTAACAGCCAGACTGGGGCTGAGGCTGTGTACCAGTACAGGGGGATAATGTCCCCGCAAGGCCTGGGTTTAGGTCTGGGTCTGTAGTGATACGTTGGTGGTGCATGCTCTCTATTGTCCTCCCTTTCCCAAAACAGTGGGTAAGAGGGGTGGGGATGATAATGTTGGCTAGAAGCAAATTATTATGCTTCTGTGGTAAGTGAGGTGGCACACAATGTGATGTCCCATAGCCAGGGCTTATGGTAAAATCACAATTTAGGCCTAAATCATACTAAATACACAAAGGAGGGAAGAGTTAATATTATTGTTGCAATCTTAATTGAATGCTGAATGTTGAATGCTTCACTTTGCAACCATAACATTATTTTAATGTTATATTTTGTATGAAATTTTCTGTTATTGTTTTATAGAAAATTAAACCACAAATTCCATCAGGTACAACTGTTGGTAATCAATGGACCAGAAATCCTGTTTCTTCCCCTATTTACTTTTGCTCTTTGAATAAAAAGAGACAGGACTTCAACTACTTCTCTACACAGCCTTCCCCACACATCTTCACATTTTGTATAGAAATTGGAAACACTACTTATAAACACTCTTTATAAACTTCCCTAACTTGTCCATGCATGTGCATTGCCTGTGGAACATAGACAAACAGATACTTGATCATAGTTAAAAAGACAGTGTGCATATATAAAAATATGTGTTTGGAACCTTTTTTTTTTTTAACTTTCACAGATCACAATTAGTTCTTACAAAACCCCAGACACTATTTTGTTCAAAATATGTATATTTGGGGGAAATGCATTTTCTCTCTCTCTCTCTCTCTCTCTCTGCAGTTTTTAAAATGGCTGAACTAATTTTGTTCAAACTTTTATTTAAAAAAAATCTCCTGGACTGAAAACAAACGTGCTCAGTTTCAACCTGAAAGGTAAAAAAATTAAGAAAGCTTCAGAGTTAGCAACACTTTCTTTCTTTCTTTCTTTCTTTCTTTCTTTCTTTCTTTCTTTCTTTCTTTCTTTCTTTCTGTTAGAACAGAAACACCCATGCAACTATAGGTGCCACAATGTGCCATCAAATTATTAACTTAACTATAGGTGCCACAATGTGCCATCAAATTATTTTACTCTTTCACTGCCTCTAATTTTTCTCTCTCTTTTTTTTAAATATTTAGCTTTTTGCTTACTGAATCAATAGCCTCATATCTTTATATTTTTTCTAGCCACAGTGCTAGTTACTAATCAAAGATGATATTTGACTAACAATAGGATTTTGATTAGTGGTTAGTAAGAGTTACTCTATCAAAGTTCTGTTTTCACTTTCCAAAATACTGTTTTTCATGTACTTTTATGTTTGCTTGTCTGCATGTAAGTAGCATACTGTACTTTGCAATCAAGAGAACAAAAGAAAATCAAAGAAATGCCCACCTTACTCAGTGTGGCTTTTTCAATTTTTATGTTACACATATCTCCCACTATGGTTCTGATTGATAGATTTTGAACCTAAGCCCTGGTCTACACTAGGACTTTAGGTCGAATTTAGCAGCGTTAAATCGATGTAAACCTGCACCCGTCCACACAATGAAGCCCTTTATTTCGACTTAAAGGGCTCTTAAAATCGATTTCCTTACTCCACCCCTGACAAGTGGATTAGCGCTTAAATCGACGTTGCCAGCTCGAATTTGGGGTACTTTGGACACAATTCGATGGTATTGGCCTCCGGGAGCTATCCCAGAGTGCTCCATTATGACCGCTCTGGACAGCACTCTCAACTCAGATGCACTGGCCAGGTAGACAGGAAAAGAACCGCGAACTTTTGAATCTCATTTCCTGTTTGGCCAGCGTGGCAAGCTGCAGGTGACCATGCAGAGCTCATCAGCACAGGTGACCATGATGGAGTCCCAGAATCGCAAAAGAGCTCCAGCATGGACCGAACGGGAGGTACGGGATCTGATCGCTGTTTGGGGAGAGGAATCCGTGCTATCAGAACTCCGTTCCAGTTTTCAAAATGCCAAAACCTTTGTCAAAATCTCCCAGGGCATGAAGGACAGAGGCCATAACAGGGACCCGAAGCAGTGCCGCGTGAAACTGAAGGAGCTGAGGCAAGCCTACCAGAAAACCAGAGAGGCGAACAGCCGCTCTGGGTCAGAGCCCCAAACATGCCGCTTCTATGATGAGCTGCATGCCATTTTAGGGGGTTCAGCCACCACTACCCCAGCCGTGTTGTTTGACTCCTTCAATGGAGATGGACGCAATACGGAAGCAGGTTTTGGGGACGAAGAAGATGATGATGAGGAGGAGGTTGTAGATAGCTCACAGCAAGCAAGCGGAGAAACCGGTTTTCCCGACAGCCAGGAACTGTTTCTCACCCTAGACCTGGAGCCAGTACCCCCCGAACCCACCCAAGGCTGTCTCCTGGACCCAGCAGGCGGAGAAGGGACCTCTGGTGAGTGTACCTTTTAAAATACAATACATGGTTTAAAAGCAAGCATGTGAAAGGATTACTTTGCCCTGGCATTTGCGGTTCTCCTAGATGTAGTCCTAAAGCCTTTGCAAAAGGTTTCTGGGGAGGGCAGCCTTATTGCGTCCTTCATGGTAGGACACTTTACCACTCCAGGCCAGTAACACGTACTCGGGAATCATTGTAGAACAAAGCATTGCAGTGTATATTTGCTGGCATTCAAACAACATCCGTTCTTTATCTCTCTGTGTTATCCTCAGGAGAGTGAGATCTAATTCATGGTCACCTGGTTGAAATAGAGTGGTTTTCTTCAGGGGACACTCAGAGGAGCCCATTCCTGCTGGGCTGTTTGCCTGTGGCTAAACAGAAATGTTCCCCGCTGTTAGCCACAGGGAGGGGGGAAGGTTGAGGGGGTAGTCACGCGGTGGGAGGAGGCAAAATGCGACCTTGTAACGAAAGCACATGTGCTATGTATGTAATGTTAACAGCAAGGTTTACCCTGAAAGAGTGTAGCCACTGTTTTATAAAATGTGTCTTTTTAAATACCGCTGTCCCTTTTTTTTCTCCACCAGCTGCATGTGTTTCAATGATCACAGGATCTTCTCCTTCCCAGAGGCTAGTGAAGCTTAGAAAGAAAAAAAAAACGCACTCGCGATGAAATGTTCTCCGAGCTCATGCTGTCCTCCCACACTGACAGAGCACAGACGAATGCGTGGAGGCAAATAATGTCAGAGTGCAGGAAAGCACAAAATGACTGGGAGGAGAGGTGGCGGGCTGAAGAGAGAAGTGGCAGGCTGAAGGAGGAAGTGGGGGGGAAGACAGGGCTGAAGCCAAAGATGGAGGGCAGGCCAAACCAGTAGCCAGTGATGGTTGCTCCGCAAAGGCAGCTGGAGCATAGATTGCCCCTCTAGCCCTTAACCAACCCCCCCTCCCCCATCTACCCCACACCCAGACCCCAAGAAGGGGGGCAACCACAATAGAGGATTCAAAAAAAGAAGGCTGTCATTCAATAAATTTTAAAGTTGTAAACTTTTAAAGTGCTGTGCTTAAAGTGCTTTGTGGCATTTTCCTTCCCTCCTCCACCACCCCTCCTGGGATACCTTGGTAGTCATCCCCCTATTTGTGTGATGAATGAATAAAGAATGCATGAATGTGAAGCAACAATGACTTTATTGCCTCTGCAAGCGGTGATTGAAGGGAGGAGGGGCGGGTGGTTAGCTTACAGGGAAGCAGAGTGAACCAAGGGGCGGGGGGTTTCATCAAGGAGAAACAAACAGAACTTTCACACCGTAGCCTGGCCAGTCATGAAACTGGTTTTCAAAGCTTCTCTGATGCGTACCGCGCCCTCCTGTGCTCTTCTAACCGCCCTGGTGTCTGGCTGCGCGTAACCAGCAGCCAGGCGATTTGCCTCAACCTCCCACCCCGCCATAAACGTCTCCCCCTTACTCTCACAGATATTGTGGAGCACACAGCAAGCAGTAATAACAGTGGGAATATTGGTTTCGCTGAGGTCTAAGCGAGTCAGTAAACTGCGCCAGCGCGCCTTTAAACGTCCAAATGCACATTCTACCGCCATTCTGCACTTGCTCAGCCTGTAGTTGAACAGCTCCTGACTACTGTCCAGGCTGCCTGTGTACGGCTTCATGAGCCATGGCATTAAGGGGTAGGCTGGGTCCCCAAGGATACATATAGGCATTTCAACATCCCCAACAGTTATTTTCTGGTCTGGGAATAAAGTCCCTTCCTGCAGCTTTTGAAACAGACCAGAGTTCCTGAAGATGCGAGCATCATGCACCTTTCCCGGCTATCCCACGTTGATGTTGGTGAAACGTCCCTTGTGATCCACCAGAGCTTGCAGCACTATCGAAAAGTACCCCTTGCGGTTTATGTACTCGGCGGCTTGGTGCTCCGGTGCCAAGATAGGGATATGGGTTCCGTCTATAGCCCCACCACAATTAGGGAATCCCATTGCAGCAAAGCCATCCACTATGACCTGCACATTTCCCAGGGTCACTACCCTTGATATCAGCAGATCTTTGATTGCGTGGGCTACTTGCATCACAGCAGCCCCCACAGTAGATTTGCCCACTCCAAATTGATTCCCAACTGACCGGTAGCTGTCTGGCATTGCAAGCTTCCACAGGGCTATCGCCACTCGCTTCTCAACTGTGAGGGCTGCTCTCATCTTGGTATTCATGCACCTCAGGGAAGGGGAAAGCAAGTCACAAAGTTCCATGAAAGTGCCCTTACGCATGCGAAAGTTTCGCAGCCACTGGGAATCATCCCAGACCTGCAACACTATGCGGTCCCACCAGTCTGTGCTTGTTTCCCGAGCCCAGAATCGGCGTTCCACAGCATGAACCTGCCCCATTAGCACCATGATGCATGCATTGGCAGGGCCCATGCTTTCAGAGAAATCTGTGTCCATGTCCTGATCACTCACGTGACCGCGCTGACGTCGCCTCCTCGCCCGATATCGCTTTGCCAGGTTCTGGTGCTGCATATACTGCTGGATAATGCGTGTGGTGTTTAATGTGCTCCTAATTGCCAAAGTGAGCTGAGCGGCCTCCATGCTTGCCTTGGTATGGCGTCCGCACAGAAAAAAGGCACGGAACGATTGTCTGCCGTTGCTCTGACGGAGGGAGGGGCGACTGACGACACGGCTTACAGGGTTGGCTTCAGGGAGCTAAAATCAACAAAGGGGGTGCCTGTACATCAAGGAGTATTTCAGGCAGGACTTCACGGAGGGTTCCAATAAGAAATGGTGCACCTAAGTTATCATTCTTATTGGAACAAGGAGGTTAGCCTGGCCTCTGATTGATACATGGCTAGATTTACCTCGCTGCACCTTCTCTGTGAGTGACTGCAGTGTGACCTAGAGGAATGAGTCCCCTAGACAGGGGAGGAGGCAAATGAGTACAAAACAAATCTGGTCTATTTCTTGTTTTGACCCACTCCATCTATCTTTTACATCTTTGGCTGGCAGCAGACGGTGCAGAAGGACTGCATGCCATCCACATCTCATGGCTGCTCGGCAGAAGATGGTACAGTACGACTGCTAGCCATCCTCATCTCCTGCCTGCCTGGCAGAAGATGGTACAATACGACTGCTAGCAATCCTCATCTCTTGCCTGCCTGGCAGAAGATGGTACAGTACGACTGCTAGCAGTCCGTATCGCCTGCCCGCTCACCATAAGACGGTTCAATAGGACTGACTGCAGGACTAAAGAGAATGACCTGGTCAAGTCACTCCAAATTTAGTCCCTGCGCCCATGTCTGCCCAGGCGCTCCCAGCCGACGTGGCCAGGAGCACCTCGGACACGACAAGGACGACTACCAGTCGTATTGCACCGTCTGCTGCCACAAGGCAAGGGGTTGCTGCTACTGTGTAGCAATGCCGTACCGCGTCTGCCAGCACCCAGGAGACATAGGGTGACGGTTACCTGAGCGGGCTCCATGCTTGCAGTGGTATGGCGTCTGCACAGGTAACTCAGGAAAAAAGGCGCGAAATGATTGTCTGCCCTTGCTTTCACGGAGGGAGGGAGGGAACGGGGGCCTGACGATATGTACCCAGAACCACCCGCGACAATGTTTTAGCCCCATCAGGCATTGGGATCTCAACCCAGAATTCCAATGGGCAGCGGAGACTGCGGGAACTGTGGGATAGCTACCCACAGTGCAACGCTCCGGAAGTCGACTCTAGCCTCGGTACTGTGGAAGCGCTCCGCCGAGTTAATGCACTTAATGCACTTAGAGCATTTTCTGTGGGGACACACACACTCGAATATATAAAACCGATTTCTAAAAAACCGACTTCTATAAATTCAACCTTATTCCGTAGTGTAGACATACCCTTAGAGATTGACAGCATGTAGGATGTAATCAGTAGGAAGAAGAGTGGAGTGTTCAGCTTACAGAAGAGTGGCCTGCCTGCACAATAGCACTAGGAGTTGTCACAGCTGCCTGCCTGTTAGTGCACTTGAAGGAGAAAATGATAAACAGTGGCTGTGAAAGAGATCCAAAAAAGTGATGTAAGTGCTGCCTTTTTAAAATTATGATTTGCAATGTGGGGTCCTGCCTTGAGGAGCTTGATTTCTTCGCTTTAAGGTTGCATTAAATGCTAGTTTCTTACATGAGATGGGTGGGCAGATAGGGATGGAGACAACATTGTTATGGCTTCTGAGCAGGCAGGAAGTTCAGGCCCCAAGAGTGGATTTTTTCCTTGCTGGGAGAGAAACAAGTTAGAGCTAAATTGTTCTTGCTCAATTCCTAAGCAAGGGACGACATATACTTAAGCTGCTCTCGAATACACCAACAGCTTGCCTACACACACAGTGGAACTGAAAGATGCACATATGTAAACCAATTGTATTTAAATTGAAATAGAACACTCTGATTCCCAGGTAAGGAGTGTCCATACTCAGACTTGCACCAAAATAACTAAAGATGTGCACTGCAACCAGTTTAGTTATTTCAATTCCTCTGTGTATAGACAAGCCCCAGAAAACAGATTGTGATTCAAGCCACATTTTGCTCCCCAGTATTCTCCCTTGCTCCATGTGAGGAAGTATTCTCTGCCAGCTCTGTACCTAAAGCCGATTATTTCTCCTGTTGCACCTGTTCAGCTGGAGAGAAAGCAAAAACTCCCTCCATTCCCTGCTCCTGTCTGTGTACCCTCTACCCGCCTGTGCAGGAGTGGGATTGACAGTCCCACAGACGCTGTTCTCTTTCCATTCTACTAATTGCAATACAGGAAGCAAGTACAGGAAGTAAAGGTGCACCTATCACCCCCTGACTTCCTGGCATGGATGCATAGGTAGGATCACAATCTGTCCCTTAATCAAGTGACACATTCTAATATAATGTAATTTATTTATAGACATATGTACAGGCTTGAACAGGGATATCATCTTGAACAGAAGGCACCTACCCTAGTCCACAAATGAGGCATGCCACTTTCAGAACTCCAGCAATCATGTGTATTAAGACCTGTACTATATATCTGTAAGACCTGAGTGCCAAAGCCACACCTCCTATTCGCATGGGTTTTGCTGCTTTCCAACGCAAAAGGAAGTGCACCTGAATTCAGATTATTAGTTATCATTTTTATTATTATATTTTATTTTTATCTTTACAACTCCCAAAAATGCCCCCAGGCACTTTACAGAATAAATAGGCTAGACCCCTGTCCCAAAGAATTTACAATCTGATTTTAGATATGTCGTGGCAAGTCCAAATTAAAAAAAAAAAAACAATAAATAAGGCTATGATACCAGGCTGCCAAAATAAGATTAAGGTTAGGCATGTGCATGGATCTCAGGAATTCAGGGGTAAACCTCTGCACTTAAAACAAGGCTCCAGTGTCTGCTTTGATAGCATATCAAGTTTGGAGTCACCATTTGTCGTCTATGGCTAAGTGAATTTATTATGGAGAGGTTGTTCAGTCCAGTCCCCAGCACCCATGACACAACTAAGTATTATCTAGAGTAGACCATCCTTGACAGGTGTGTTTGTTTAACCTACTCTTACAAATCTGCAATGATGGAGATTCCACAACCTCCTTAGGCAGTTTATTCTAGTACTTAACTACCCTGGCAGTCAGAAAGTTTTTCCTAATGGCCAACCTAAACCTCCCTTGCTGCTCGTTTAAGCTCATTGCTTCTTGTCCAATCATCAGAGGTTAACAAGAACAATTTTTCTCCCTCCTCCTCATAACAACCTTCTATGTACTTGAAAACTGCTATCATGTCACCTCTCAGTCTTCTCTTCTCCAGACTAA